TTCCAAATTTGAATTTTTTAGTTAACCTAACTTAGGTTCTTGGTCATATTTGCACAATATACTTTTTTGGCTCTCGATAGTTATATTTCACCTCAATTTATTGAATTTTTTAAATAGCTCGGTCTCTCACCTAGTACTCCTCAGTCTCGTTCGATCATCAGCTCCCCTTCTACTTCATGTATTGGCATGGTCTCTGCTTCTAGTATCTCTTCGATGAACGGAAGCTCTCTCTGTGCCTCATCTGGGAATTCTTCCGGCATTATGTCAGCCCCAAGCGCTCCTGGTTTCTCTTCTGTCCACTTAGTCTCTTCTTGCTCAGTTTCTCCACTGATAGCAGGGCAATCATCCCATATGCAGCCACAAAAACAGTTGCAACAACAGCATTCCATGTCTCGTGCCTCACTTGCCGCACCTTCGTCTCCAAGTCTGATCGACGCTCTTTCTTCGGGCGCTATAGAGCCAGAGCGACAGAGGTTGAAGGAGATTTTGGCCAATACAGTTCATCAACGACAAACAAATGTTCAACAACATCAGCCAAATTTGTGCTCTTCTCACCCGCAATACTGCGTCACAACATGCACTGATATATCTCCTATACCTGTTTGCTCTTTGTCTCGATCTCCGAGTCTCCCATCAGTGGCTTCAACTGCTCTTTTGCGTCAACAGGCCTCACCAGCTTCCCCATCATCTGGATGTGCTCATATCTCAGGTGCATGCTCACCTGCTCCCTCACCTGCAAATTCGACTTGCGTTTGCCCTGGAAATGGGCCACTCACTATATTTGGAACCGGAGTACTTGATAGCCCTATATCGTCTTCAAATTCGGCCATATCATCTCCACCGATTCTCATGTCGGATCGTCGAATGTCACACATTGCAGCACCACTCACATCTATTCAATCACCTAACTCAACACCAATGTCAATACCAACACCGAATCCTGTTCCCAGTCCAGTCTCAACGCCACTACCTGGTTCCTGCCATGCTACGAGTACGCAAACACAAGTTACGCTTAGTGGTGGAGCTTCGAATTCACTTTTGGCCTCACCTACTTTGGCAATCGACACTGAGAATGTATTTAATCCTCGATCTCCCAATTCTGGCTATCAGCATCAATTAAGGTTTAGGCACCAGCCTATTTATGCGACAGCTCAGGCTTCACCTTTACCAATAGTCCAGCCTAATATTGTTATTCGACCAACAATACATCCTAATGCTCCACCTCTATCTCAGCATCAAATCCAACAGATGGCTCCTCGAACCCTAGCACCTTCTCATACTGGTCTCCAAAATAATTATATGAAGGTTATATTTCTATATGTTTCTCATTGCAATGCTTGATTTTTACATTTAGGTAATTTTAATCTCTGAAAATGATTGT